ATACATCCAGTTTTCCACGTCTCTATGCTTAAAAAGAAACTGGGTAATGCAATCTTAACAATTAAAGACTTACCTACAAACAATGAATGTGATAGCATGCTCAAGCTAGAACTCATCCTGGACAGCAGATGGATTAAGAAAAGATCTACGTTTGAAGAAGAAAGCTTAATTAAATTGAAAAATCTGTCAGAAGAAGATGCAACACAAAAAAATACGGCAGAATTGCAATAGTGATTTAGCAATCAGAACCTTGGGGACAAGGTTCCACCAAAAGTGAGAGGCAATGATAAGATTCGAAGATCTCAACGGCAAATATGAAGGAATCCCAGATATACTAGTAAAAGAAATGTGCCACTATGAACCAATCAAAACAGCTTCAACATTCCCACGATCCCCGCTAACCATTGCATCCTATGATTTCCATTAGCACGTGTATTATTTTCTCCCATATTTTTAATTTAGTTCCTTAATCATAAGAAGTAACAGGTATAAACTTTTATATTTAAGCATACCAACATCATTAATAAAATCAAGTTCAATTTTATAAATCAAATCTATGGTGTTTCTCACCCAAAAAGAAAAACTTACTTTATTATTTATCAGCATCTGATCGAGACCTATCACAGACATACAACTTTAGGAAAAAGTTACACACCTAAAGCTACCCCACAAACCAAAATGTAGAAAATATAATACGATCACATTAATTTAAGTTTAGGAAACAAAAAAGGGTTATAACTATAAAGAATTCATGATGTAACAGGATTTACCCTCGAGACTTTTGATTCCTTTATGTACTATCAACCAAATTGGCTTAACAAAGTCTTGATGAGCAAAAACTGGAGTTGAAAATTTATGTAGCATTTAGTTTAAATATATCATGTGATTATTTAATTACTTTATGTTATTTACTTAACATGTAAATGGTTTATACATACAATTGCATAATTAGATTAACTTCACACATATTTTCTATTTCGTTATTATGAAGTCATATCAACATGTGAATGATGAATCATAAACATAACTAATTTGAATTATATATGAAACTTATTGAAGCTGCCAGTAGAAAACCAAAATAACTAGTTATTGTAGGCATGAAGGGGCTGAATGAAATATGTTCTTTTTTTATCCATACGTTCTTAAAGCATTTTCCTAAGTTTCAATTTTTTGAAAGAAACAGGAATAGGCAAAAATACCACTTGAAAGAATACAAATTTTCAATTAAAAATTCATCACTGATCAGTTATTAATTATTATAGGCAGTATTGACAAAGATGGAGTAACAGAAGTAGAAAAAGAAATCAATTCAATTCAACATCTGCGACATCTTCCCAGGGAGGGCATGATTCTGAATCAACGCAATGGATTCATTGGGAAACTCTCGAGTAAACTAACACTAGAAGTGATGGGATTAAGCTGTCATATTCATTTAAATTTCTGTTGTACTTTAATTTGTATTGTACATTTATTCTTCCTCAATGGAAATCAGAATATGAATCAAATTCAATCTTTAGAATATTTAGAAAAGATAGATTATAATAAATGACTAAAAGTTTTGATTTAGTTATAGAGCTTTTAGTTGGATGCTTAATAACCAGTAAAGCCTTAGATTTGCCGCATTGACTTGCATTATAT